CTATTTATAGAGGTATAGCTATAGGCATGTATATATGTAAATATATTCATTTATAATGAAAGGGATAGAGGCCAATGTGCTTATATTTATATGTTAAGTTCAAATAGTAGACGGACTTTGGGCCTATACTCAAAGCCTCCCTAAATACAAGAAAACTTTGTTCTAATAACCTGGCACTCTTTTATACTAACCTTCCCTACAAGATCACTGAAGACAAAATGGGTGCATAAGCAAATGTAGTGAAGAAAGCTGATGGAGTCTGGCTATCAAAAGATATAGCGTCTGGGGTCTTAAAGGCTTAAAGGTAAACAAGCAGCCATCTAGCAGGGAAGCAAATAAGCCCACATGTAAGAAGCATACCAACCTGTGTGATCATGAGGTATCGATGAGATCAGGTATCAATAGATCAAACCAAACAATTATATTGATGGGAATGGGGGTGGGGGTGGGGGCAGAGTGGAGACCCAAAGCCCATCTGTAGACAATTGGGCATCCTCCGCAGAAGGGTTACAAGGAAGGGACAATTCAACCAGGGTGTAGTACAGCACCAACGAAACACTCATCATTCCTCTAGTTCCTGATTGTGCCCTCCCCTCTCTACCATGACCCAGTTCTACCTCACAAATCCGGCTAGACCGGAGAACACACATCGGTACAGACAAGCGCTCTCAACACATGGAATTCAGAACAGATAAGCCCCTCAGGAACAATAGTGGGAGTGGTGATATCATGAGGGTAAGGAAATGGTGTGTTGGGGGTGGGGGGAGAAAGGGGAAGCCCATCACATGATTCATCCCTCAGTGGGATGAGTAACAGAAATACGAGTGAAGGGAGACAACAGACGGTGTAAGACAGGAAATAACAACAATGTTGTATAATTGATCAAGGATTCACAAGGGTGGGAGGGAGAAAGAGGAGCTGATACCAAGGGCGCAAGTAGAAAGAAAATGTTGATGACAACATATGTACAAGTGTGCTTAATAAAATTGAATGATGGCTTGTCATAAGATTTGTCAGAGCCCCCCAATAAAATTATTAAAACAATAATAATAAAAGTAAAAATTTGAAAATTAAAAAAAGAGATTCACAGAGTTTCCTATTTGTACAACTACCTGCTCAACTCAAAAGTGGAGCTCCCTGATCCATATGTACCCCTGATTTTTATTACTTTTTTTTATAAATCATTTTATTAGGGGCTCATACAACTCTTATCACAATCCATACACACATCAATTGTGTAAAGCGCATTTGTACATTCATTG